CCCTAACCCTAACCCTAACCCTAACCCTAACCCTAACCCTAACCCTAACCCTAACCCTAACCCTAACCCTAACCCTAAATTTGGACGCGTCCGTTGCACCCTGTCCGTTGCTCCAGCCAAGGAAAATTTGGATCCGTCGCCGCACTGGACCAGTGTCTTTGGACCTGTCCGTTGGACCCGACGGACACGGACGCCGACCTGATTTTGGCGGGACGGACGCGTCCGCCGCCGCCCTGCTCCGCACTGCCGCCTAGGGGCTAGGGCTAGGCATACTCTAACAGACTAATGATCTAAGTCTAAAGTTCCATCTTTCAAGATTCTAAGTTTGGTTTGATTTCGCGTGAATTTTAGCGCTCATTTTCGAGGTCATTTTTCCAATTAATGAATTGCACCTCTCCGATCCCAAGTTGCGGCCGAGTTGCGGCTTGTCGAATTGGTTTGGCTGAGCTGAAGAATCGCGACTCTGCTTCCCTCAGCACCACGATGTGCGCCAGATGTTGGGCGACGGTTACACTCTGCAGATGTGCTCATGATTCGTAGAATCGCCCTTCGCACTGCAGACGGGACCTTCGAGTCCCCAGCTGGCTGACGTCCTTGAAGCCAGCCTCAACGTCCCGACGACATGCATTCTTCATCTTACTCGCCGCACGTGGGCCTCCATTCTCGTTTGCCAAAGACTACACCGGTTCCCTGCGCAAGACGCATGACAGCTTTGTAGCTGCGCGATCCGCAAATTGCCGTCCTGTTTGCGCTTACTACAGCCCCAATGAACGACTCGAGGACCACGGCCGTCCACTCACAAAAGCGGCGTCGCATCACACGCGCATGCGACCGATGCAGCGCTCGTAGCGTCAAGTGCAGATTCCAACCCACAAGCCCTTACCGATGCGACAACTGCCTGGATTATGGCGAGGAGTGTACCTTTGATCGCCCCATGCGCAAGCGAGGTGCAAGGCCCAGGGAAGCCAGGAGATCACCAGCGGTTGCGAGTGACGCTGGTCAATCTCCGCTTCCCGCCGCTTCTGCAACAAGGCAGCACGACGCGATCCACCGCCGACCAGACAACACCGCCGACAAAAGCGACAAGAGCGAGGCATGGAAGCCAGACTCGTTACCTAGCCAGGCAATCGTCATGGACCTGACAGAGATCTACTTTGAAGTCGTCTACCCCGTCTTTCCCTTCTTCCACCAGCCGACTCTGCTACGCAACGTTGCGCGAGGAGAGTATGCCAGCAGTCGTCCTCTTTTTGCCGCCGTCATGGCGCTCTGCGCACTCTCGTCAGCTCGCGTCCGTGACGGCGCACTCTACACGGAGCGATGGGATACGCACTGGCTCCAAACGCCCTCTTGCGAGTACTTCCTCCAGATCGCAGCTAACGCTATCCCAAGCGATGCGCCTTTGTCCCAGGAATTCGACTACATGCGGGCGTACGCCCTCCTAGCCATCGCTTCCATCCAGCTCGGAGATCCACGCAAGATGAACTACTACCTCTGCCTCTATCACGGATGTACAGCCGTGGCCTCGCTCCATGATGAGCGGAACTGGCCTCAGGGCATCGGTTTTGTCGAGGTGGAGATGCGCAGACGCCTGTTCTGGTCAACGTACACCTTGGATGTCTTCTCCTCCATCATCTGGGGCGGCGTTGTCAAGAGCCGGGAGGCTTGCTATAGCGTAAGGTACCCAATCGAGTGCAATGACGAGGCTTTCAGCGATACCGTTGCCCCGGAGCCAGCATCGTCCGAGGCATCTTGTTGGCTCAGAGGCTGGAACTTCGTCACGGACCTCTATCGAAAGCTGGAGCACACGGTGGATTCCCTCGGCAATCTGCGCGACTTGGCGCTGACACCGTCTGCGACCAATGCAATCGAGCCATGCGCTTGCGTCACGGGCTCCGCGGTCCTCAGCAATGCGATGGATCTCTACAACCAGCTGCCGCCCATCTTCAAGGACATCCAACCCATCACGGGCAGGCTCAACACCGACCTGTTTGGCTTTCAAGCCGCCAACATTGGCGCCACGTTGCAACTCGTGCGCATGTCCGTCCTTGCAACCGAGCACTCCACCGTGATCCAGAAGTGCGAAATCGCCGGCGAAGTGATTGAAAGCTTTGCACGTATCCCCGTGGCGTACCTGCGCGCCATCAGCACGCCTCTCCTGCATCATCTTGCTGGGATCGGCACCATCATGGGCTCTGCATTCGAGGAGGGCCTGACAGAATCGTCGTATCAGCGCGTTCGGTCGGTGCTCATCGATTTGGCGCATCTGCTGGCCAATCTGGAAGTGCACCTCTTTGCTAAAGCGGGCACGAGCGACAAGTTGCGAGGCCAGGTCGCAAGGATCGATGCGTTCATGCACGTGCAGCGCTCGATGGAAAGGACCGGGCCACATGCTGAACATTCACTCGACTCTTCGCGTGCTGCCATGAGCATCGACTTTATGAACGGAGACGAGATGCCTCAGATCCACTTCCCTGCGGACCTGTTCGATGACTGGGATTGGATCTTTGACGTGACATAGAGGTTTGTTTCCTTTGGACTACATGTACATACTACCACGTGTGGATGACTCGTCACAGCACCGCTTTTGAGCGTTGTCAAGCCATTGATCTGTCCATCGACTTTTCCTGGGAAGAGGCGGCGTCGTCCTCGGCGCGCGCGGTCCATCTTGCGTGATTCTCCTCGTCGACAAAGAGGGTCTGCTTGTTGTCGGCATACGCCTTCTCCATGTTCCAGTAGAAGGGCGACGGTGTGCTGAACATGGCCTCGATGGATTCGAGCGAGCGGTTGGAAGTCTCTGGGTAGAGGAGGTAGACGATCCAGATCCAGACAAAGTTGAGACCGGCAAAGAGGAAGTAAGTGCGGCTCTCGATGCTGCCGAACATGATGGGGTTGACGAGAACCGTCATGCCCACGCCGATGGCCCAGCCAGTGATGCCAAAGCCGTTTCCTTGCGCCCTCATCTTGCTCGGGAAGATCTCGGTGGGGATGAGGAAGGCGACAGTGCCCCACGTGGCGGCGTAGATCAGGTTGAAGAGGAAGAGCATCGTCACCGCCGCGGGTGCGATCTGGTCGGCGAGCGATGGGTTGTGGCGCGAGGCCTCGTACAGCGATGCGGCGATGAGATTGACGATGGCGAGACCTGCGGCTCCGGCCATGAGGCATGCGCGCCTACCGTACTTGTCGACAATCTGTGCCGAGATGATGGTGCCGATGATGCCGATCGTGTTGAGTCCTCCGGCAAGACCATTCTGCTTGATGGCGCTGTATCCGGCTTGACGGAGCAGCACGGGCGAGTAGGCTGTGACGGCAGTGATTCCGGACCAGGAAGCCATGATTTGGAGCCAGATGCAAAGCCAAGCCCTGCGACCGAGGTTGGCACCGTGACTCTTGTCCATGCCGAGGATGATCTTGACGAATTCGATGGGCGAGCTGGGCTTGGTGTGTTGAGCCATGGCCGCAATCTCGTTGAACTCTTGTTCCACATGGGCATCGTAGCTGCCACGGATATGCTGGAGAACCTCGCGGGCCTCTTCCGTCTTGCCAACTGAGGCAAGGTAGCGGGGCGAGTCCGGGAGCATCTTGATACCGACCAGAAGTAAAAGCGCAGGTAAGCACTGGAAGGCGAGCAGGAATCGCCAGCGGATGGCCGAGTATCCTCCGTCGACAAAGCTGAGGCCAAAGTCGAGCCAGTATGCGACAGAGATGCCCAGATAGTTCGCGATAAAAACGTAGCCAAGGAAAGCTCCGCGGTGTTGAGCAGCGGAGACCTCCGAGATGAAGACCGGGGTGATGCCGGTAAGAGCTGTGGAGGCAACGCAAACGAAAGGAGCCGTCAGGAAACGTGTAAGCGGGGGTGCACAGGGTGAAATGCTTCATATGTTTCGCTTCTTGCGTTCCACTTACCTCCCGTACCAAGCCCTGTGACTACACGAGCAATGATGATAAAGTCGGCGCTCTGTGTAGCGGCTTGGAGAGCGCCTCCGATGCAGGCAAAGATGGCCGAGAAGAAGAGTCCATTGATGCGGCCGATGCGATCGGCTGCCCAACCGCCAAGGAAGCATCCGACGATGCATCCGAGGTAGTAGACACTGACGATGCCGCCCTGTTTGGTGGTGTTTGTGACCGTGCCATCGGCGATACCAATGTCAACTTCTGTGACGTAGTTTGGCGAAGCATTGACGCCGCCCATGACACCCTGGTCTGTTTGCAATTGAAAGGACACACCAAAGAGATACGTCAGTAAAGAAAGAGTGGCATAAACTTGGCGGTCCCATAGTCAACTTTGACGACGTACCATAGCCCTCAAAAAAAATGGCAATCAGGGAGAAGGCCTGAATAGCAATGTTGAGCTGGGCAGGTGAAAGCCTCTTCCACGCGCTTGTATAGCCCATGGCTTCGTCGTGTTCAGGGTGTTGCGATTGGAATAGGGCAGGTGATGGGAGACGAGGCGAGCGTGGGATAGGCAAAGCAGTGGTGCGGTGTCGCTTGCCCCCTTTTATGTCGTTTGATCAACCAAGGAGGATATAATGGAGTTGCAACGCATCGTCGGCAGTGAGGTTACGAAGGAGAAAAGACCACGTTGTCGCTTGGGTGCAGCTCTCCTCGGACAGGCACCGCATGAAACGCGGGGCCCACGCCTCTTGCCGCGCGGAGCTATTCGGATCTTGCTCTCGCTTCGAGGAAGGGTCCAGCCGAAAGGCATGCTCGGATGGATGCGTTCAGGGGCATGACTCGTTGTGCAATTACAGCATCATGCAGTCCGATGGTGTTGGCCATGTCATGCCCGAAACGCAAGAAAACTCTCGGAAGTCGCGCAACCCGCGCAACCCGCGCAACCCGCGCAACCCGCGCAACCCGGGGCCCCAGGTCGTGCGCAACAACACGATTCTTGCAATGCCGTAAATTTACTGCTGCAGTACCCAACTGCGTGGTGGCGCGTTTTTGCGCCGCTTATTCGCTAAAATGTGGCAACATTCAAGCATTTAAGCGAATAGGCGAAAACGCGATGTGGCCCCTACCGTCAGGTATTGCCGAACCGTTTTTACGAGAGCTGGATGGACCCTTTGGGCAAGCACCCTTCTATGAATTTACCGTATGATTCGTCTTCGAGGTCGGTTTCGGATTGGAGCAGTCCTTAAATACTAGGACAGGTTCGTTTGCCATACATCCGCCTTGCGACCTCGACACTGGTACACCTCCAACATGACGATCACCAACGGGCATGCAAACGGCATCAACGGGCATGGCCCTTCCCAGGGCCTCGACTTGACGGTCCTCGGGCTCAACAGCGGTACAAGCATGGATGGCATCGACTGTGCTCTCTGCCGCTTTCGTCAGCAAAGTCCGGAAGCGCCTATGCACTTTGAGCTGCTCAAGTACGCCGAGATCCCGCTCGAGCCAAAGATCAAGAAGCGTGTGATGGACATGATCTACCACAACCGCACCACTCCCGAAGAGCTCTCCGAGGTGAATGTGCTGCTCGGGGAGACATTTGCCTCGGCAGTGCAACAGTTCTGCAAAGAGAACAGCGTGGCGATGGAGAGCATCGATGTGATTGGCTCGCATGGACAGACCATCTGGCTGCTCAGCATGCCCAAGCCAGGTCAGACCAAGTCGGCGCTCACCATGGCAGAGGGCACTTTTATCGCCTCTCGCACTGGCATTACCACCGTGACCGACTTCCGTGTCTCGGATCAAGCTGCAGGTCGGCAGGGCGCCCCACTGATTGCGTTCTTCGACGCCCTGCTGCTTCATCACCCGACCAAGCTTCGCGCGTGCCAAAACATTGGTGGCATTGCCAACGTGTGCTTCATCCCGCCTGACAATGCGGGTGGCATCGACAAGTGCTTTGACTTCGACACGGGACCGGGCAACGTGTTTATCGATGCAGTCGTGCGTCACTTTACCAATGGCAGCCAAGAGTACGACAAGGATGGCGCCATGGGCAGCCGAGGATCCGTCCACCAGCCTCTCGTCGACGAGTTCTTGGAATTCGAATATTTTAAGCTCGAACCGCCCAAGACGACCGGCAGGGAAGTGTTTCGCGATACCATGGCGCACGAGCTCATCCAAAAAGCCGAGAAGCTCGGGCTTTCGCAGGATGACATTGTTGCAACCGTCACCAGGATCACGGCGCAAGCAATCGTGGATCACTACCGCCGGTATGCGCCTCGGCAGGATATCGACGAAATCTTCATGTGCGGTGGCGGCGCGTACAACCCCAACATCACCGCGTACATCCAGCAGCACTATCCCAACACCAAGATCTACATGCTCGACACCGCTGGTGTCCCTGCGAGTGCGAAGGAAGCCATCACATTTGCGTGGCAAGCCATGGAAGCTGTGGTTGGAAGGTCCATCCCCGTCCCCGACCGCGTCGAGACCAGGCAGGAGTACGTGCTCGGCAAGGTCAACCCAGGCAAGAACTATCGGAATGTGATGAAGAAGGGTATCATGTTCGGACACGGCGATAGGCTGCCGCCGGTCACCGAGATGGTCAATTACGTTGATGGCGAGGTGTTCAGCAACAAGTGGGACTAGAGCCTTGCAATTCGATGCTGTGCCACTGAAATTTCTCGCGGGATCACAGCGCATGTGTCCATCGCGCGCTCGATCGACGGGACTGCCGCTGCCTCCCGCGGTGTCGTCCATCCGCACGGATAGATCGATTGGATCTGTCCTCGACGACATCATGCACAGGACAGGAGTACGAGGAGCTGGAACGATCGCCAATGGCTTGATGGACATGGGCAAGGGGCGTTGGTCCCCGAACAACGGGTTTGAGGTCCTCTGACGTCCTTAGTAAGTCCCGTCCTTCTGCCTCCGCGCCGGTCACTATGTCACGGGCGGCTTCGACATCCCAGCTTGTGAGCGGTGCCGACTCAACGATGGTCTCTATGAGAGACGAGTACGAGGTGACTGTGTTCTGATCGATACCGTCGAGTCCTCGTTGCTTGTCGATGTCGGTGAGGCTTCGCAGCTAGCTTTCGCGGCACCAATTTACTATCCGGACGAAGATTGAAGGAACGCGCCAAGTTCGTAAAGCGCCTCTAAAGATCTTCTAAAGATCGTGGGGAATGCAGCCTTCCCGATACACTCGATCATCTTCACGCCTGTTGTTGACCGGATGTAGAGGTTAGCATGTCGCGCAACAGCAATAGACACCGGCGCTGACTGCGTTCTGAGGACAGGTGATCTCATGAAAGCGGCACTGCGAAGTTCCTGACCCGAGCCCTGTAACCCAATTGGGGAGTAGACTTGATCGCGTGAAACTTCTTGGCGATGTCTCGCTCAGTGGTCGCTCACGATAGCAGCCGAACAGCGTTGTAAAAGGCGATGTTCTATTGGACGGGCATCTAGATCAACGATGCAAACGAGAAACAGACACTTGCTCTAGGCGACGAGGGGATCATCCGTGCAAGTGGGAGCTTTTAGCCTCTAGTTGCTGAAGCGAAGCTTGTACGCTGTCGAGTTCTGATCTACCAGCACGACGCTGGTTCCATCGGTCTGCTGAGGGTCCTTGAACACGGACCAACCCCAGTCCTTCTGAGAGTCGCTCTTCGGGGCACCGAGCCAGTTGACGTCGAACTTTCCGTCGGATGTCTTGCTCAGATGGTAGAACTGCGAGACCTGACCCTTAGTATCAGCGGTGGAACAGGCGGCTGCCGCTTCGATGATGTAGTTGTTCAGACTGCCGGTCTGCCTGCTGAAGCAGCTACCTCCAAAGATGGTGTTGTTGAGTCCAAAGTGGCCGTACATGTTGTTCTCATCCGACTCGTAGCCCATGAAAGCCGAGTCACATTGGAAGAAGTTGAACTCGGCGTTTTCGGTCGCGTTGAGGAGAGGGGAGTAGCCGTAAGGGAACGCAGCTGTCCTTCCGGCATTTACAGGCTGAACGTCTCCGGTCGATGTGTTGACCAATTCCATCCCGCCGACCTTGACAAGCTTGCAGGCCGGCAATTGACGGATGGGAGGGACATACTGCCTTCCCAGCTGACCAATGAGCTGTTCGTCTCGCTTGCCCGTCTGTGGATTGTCTTCTTCGTAGCTGGCTGTAAGGTCGGCACCGTCGAAGGCAAAGTGGTAGTTTCCGCCATATCCCGGATCGTTCTGATCGACGGGACCGGGGGTGTCGCCCAGGAAGACAGCGGTGTAGTAGTCATAGAACGAGAACAGCTGGAACTGCCAGTGTTGGCGAGCTTCGACGTTGCCCAGAGAGCTGTCTCCGGTGAATGCGCAGGGCTCGGACTTGACTACAGCACCTGTCGACTCGAGTCGGTCGACGGTCACACAGTTGCCGTCAGGTCCCTTGATGTGACCTTGGTAGGTGGCGACCGATCCTTTGCCTTCATAGGGAGGCGGGGTGTAGGAGCAGTTGAAGAACTCGAACAAGGTCTGATTCTGCCACTGAGGGCGGGTCGATGCGACAACGTGCTCATCTTTGAGCGAGAGGTAGATTGCGGGAGGATTGTTCGAGTAGATGGGGATGCCGGTCGAGTTGTATCCGAAAGCGCCCTTGCCAAGACTGACGCACTGATCGGCGGAGGAAGCGCTAGAGACGGGCGCAGCCGAGGTGGTGCTTGCTCCAGCAAGCAGCAGTACAGCGGCAGCAGTGAGCTTCAAAGACATAGGTATAGGAGCTTGGAGAGGCAATGGTGGTGATGTAGATGGAGGAAAGTTGCTGATGAAAGGAGGTCGAAGAGACGGTCATGGAGCCAACCTTTTATCCTTTACAAGGCATGCCTGTCGTTCCACAACCGTTCGCAGCTAGGCTCTCCAAGATGCTTGCGACATGCTACAGAAGCGCAAGACGACGCAAAGCGTTGACCGCGTCTCGCGAACTCATCTCTTTGAGCCGACGAGGGGCACAGCCCTCCGGTCTCGGCTTATTCGCCGGACCACGGGCGTCACAGTTCGGGCTCTGCTTACCTCGCGTTCTGGAGTGGATCTGCTGAGTTCCTGTGGAAGCGACATTCGGAGGATGTACGTGAGGTTCTACGGAACGGAATCTAGCGCCTTGACAGCCTGCGGCGGCGTCGGCGACCACGGCTTGGCGGCGGTTGACAGCAGTTGGCGGCGGTGCTCCGGTCCAATTCATGCAAAAACGGAGCTCCAGCGCCTCGGTTGCTCGCAACAGTACAGCCCAGTCACGACTCCATCGGAAAGCATCAAGTGATATTCGGCTCTGAAAGGATTAGAGTTCGGCTCACGCATCCGTGCCGTTTTCGGCGCAAGTTTCGCCCTCGACTGAGCGCTTCTTCCGGGCCGATCAATGGGGCGGCCAGTCTGCGAGGCAGGAGGTAGGAACAGACGTCATTGTTTCAGCAAAAAAAGAACCGCATTTTAGACGCGGATTTCAGTGCGATTTCTTGGACTGGCCGGAACGTTGAGACGAGGGTTTGGCGGGAAGCTCGCCACTCTGCTGCGGTCGCGTCCGGTCTGCGGTGCCAGCATGGACAGCAGGCCGTGAGCTGGTAAGGTTGGCACTTTAGACTCAGGGGGAGGGAGACGATGAGGTCGCTCTCCATGGTCAGGGCAGAGGACAACCTGCCGTGGGATCGATTGCTTGCGGAAGTGGCGACAACTCAATCGACATGGGCTCTACTGCCGCGGTTTTACACATGATTGCGCGGACACGGAAATACAAGTGAACAAATCCAGCTTCACACTCGAAGTCCACTGTCTGAAAGCATTGCGTCTAGCGAGTACTAGATTGAAGCCGAGCGGCCGCAGAGACAAGAACTAATGCTTGGTCAGGGAGAGAAGGTGATCGCTGGGCACACCGGACCAGCCGCGCTTCTCGTAGTCGGCGAGACTGGCGACCATGTCTTTGACGACGTCCTGCATCTGAATGTAGCGTAGACCCAATACGCGGGTGGCCTTGGATCCGTCCAATTCGTTTTGCTTGACCGAAGAGCCCTCGCCGTGCTTGCCTTGAGGCACCTGCTTCTTCCACTCGGATGGAACGGCGTTGTCAGCGTGGATGACGTCGGCCACGTCCTGCCAAACAAAGGGCCCAAGCGAAGTGGCAAAACGGTTGCCACCCGCGTCCGCACGCACAAGTGCCTCGACGTGCGCATAGGCTACATCGCGAACGTCAACACAGTTGCCAGAGGGAGCGAGGAGATCGTCCTCCTTCTTGGAGCCATGCAAGAGGCCCCACACAAATCCGACCGAGGTGTTGAGCTTCTCAGGAGCGGCAACCTGGTGCAGGATGGGGCCCAGAACGAGAGGCGGGTTGATGGTGACCAAGTCCCACGTGGGCTTGTTCTCTTCGACAAATTCCCAAGCAGCACGCTCAGCCATGGTCTTCGAAGCGCGATAAGCGTCAGGACCTTCCTGATCCTTGCCCTGCTTTTCGACGTTTTCGACGCTCGAGATGTTCCAGTCCTTTTCGGTGTAGACAATGTGGCCTTTGCGGGTCGAATCAAGGATGGCCGCGAAGGACGAGGTGATGACGACGCGCTTCACATCCTTGCCGTGCTTGTGAATGGAGGTGAGGACGTTGCGCGTGCCGTTGACGGCGGGGTTGATGAGCGTTCCCCTGGGATCGCCGTCAATGTTGAAGTGGAACGGTGAAGCAGTGTGGAGCACGGCGTCGACACCCTTGACGGCATCGTCGAAGGCACCTTGCTTCTCAAGATCCTCGGCGATGACAAAGCTGAGCTGGTCGCCATACTTCTTGAAGAGGTCTTGGAGGTATTTGCCCTTGGCGTCGGATCGAACGGTGGTGCGGACCTTGTGGCCTCGCTCGAGGAGCTGGTAGACGCACCAGACTGCAATGAAGCCCGAGCCTCCGGTGACAAGGACGTGGTCGTTTGGCTGAATAGCTGGCATTGCGGATACGAGATGGGTGGGTGAATGTGTGATGATGGTGATGGTGGGGAAGAGGAATGTTTGACCACTTGGTGCAGGGTTGGGGTTCAGCGTTCAGGTCCGTGCACAACCGCGCCACTGCGGCTCCGCGAGATTCGGGTCGCGACAGTGGCGCGCCAACCGAATTGTTGAGCGAACTGAAGCGGCGTTCAGGTCCAGTCTCGCCCGTTCCGTAAAGACTTGCACGCAGCGGCTTCAGTTGTCCGTCGCCTAAGTCATCGTTGGGTGCATTGCCGTGCCACTGCGGGAGAAATCAGCCGCAGCGTGTGGAGGCCTCCTCGCTCGGCACGGGCAGAATACGTCAGTGGCCGGCCAGGTTGATCCGGCCGAGAGCGCATTCGAGTGTCGGACCGCCCACCCAAGGTTCATGTCGATGACCCAACCAGCCTCTTCTTACCCGCATCCGCAACCGATGACGGGATGCAGTGAACGATATCGTAGCGCCGATGAGTGCAAGCGTGACGCGAAGCATTTTGGGCAACAAAATACGAAAGCGAGAAGAGACATCCACGGTGATGAAGAGGTCAGTGTTCCTTCGTCCCATTCGAATTTGGTTCCGGTTTGCGACACTGGACTTGGCGCGCTCTGTCATCTACGGCCCGGACGCTGAGTCTGGAGGAGACCAAAATATGGCTAGGTGTCGCGTAGCGCGCTCTGCGAAAGGCTTGTGAGTGCGAGGCGCGATGGGGGAGTCTGTCTCATCGGAAGCGGAGTCCGGCTCTCGAGCGCAACATCACCGGTGTGAGCGACGCGGGCCTTGGTTAACCTGGGATCGATTCACACTTGGGACGTTCACGGACCCAGACGACGCTTCCATGGTACAGAGTAGTGCATTGCGAAACGGAACATGTACAAGAACGAGACAGATGACGAGAGAAACAAGCAGGCAAAGACAATCAGAAGTCCTCTTCCAATGAGAAGGCATGTGTGTTCTTCTGCGTGCCGTCGCCAGCCTCCTCGGTCTCCCTACGCGCAACACCGCTCTTTGCGTACTCGGCAACCTTCTTCTCGAAGAAGTTGGTCTGTGAAACGGATAGGTCAAAGTGCGAACGGTTTGGTCAGCGTTCCGGCGACGATAAGCGTTCAAATGCTCGGGAGAGAGATTGCTTACCTTTCCTTCGAGACTGATGTTGTCCATAAAGTCGAAGGGGTTGGTCGAGTTGAAGTGGGGCGCGTTGCCGAGCTGTGTGAGCAGGCGGTCTGCGACGTACTCGATGTATTGGCACATCAGTTTTGCGTTCATGCCGATCAAGCTGCATGGCAGAGCCTCGGAGAGGAACTTCTGCTCGATCTCGACGGCCTCGGTGATGATCTTGAGCACGGTGTCGGGGTGCGCGCGCTTCTTGAGGTGGCTGAAGAGGAGGCACGCAAAGTCGGTGTGAAGGCCCTCGTCGCGCGAGATGAGCTCGTTGGAGAAGGTGAGGCCGGGCATGAGGCCGCGCTTCTTGAGCCAGAAGATGGAAGCAAACGAGCCGGAGAAAAAGATGCCCTCGACGGCGGCAAAGGCGACCAGGCGCTCGGCGAAAGTGGCGCGACGGTCGCTGATCCAGCGGAGCGCCCAGTCGGCCTTCTTCTTGACGACGGGGATGGTCTCGACGGCGTCAAAGAGGAGCTCGCGCTGTTCGGGCTCGCGGATGTAAGTGTCGATGAGGAGCGAGTAGGTCTCGGAGTGGATGTTCTCCATCATGATCTGGAAGCCGTAGAAGCAGCGGGCCTCTGCGGCCTGGACCTCGGAGCTGAAGCGCTCGACAAGGTTCTCGTTGACAATGCCATCCGAAGCGGCGAAGAAGGCGAGGACGTGCGAGATAAAGTGGCGCTCGTTGTCGTTGAGCTTGTTGTCCCAGTCGTGGAGGTCCTTGGAGAGATCGATCTCCTCGGCGGTCCAGAAGGAAGCCTCGGCCTTCTTGTACATTTGCCAGATCTGTTGAGTGCATCCGGATGGGCGATGGCAGCAGGAGGGCATGGAAGAGGGAAGACGTCAGTCGATGCACTTGCACACGGTCACTGCCGTGGTCGAATGCAGGCAGCAAAAAAAAGGAACATACCTCGTGGAAGCGGATGGGGAAGAGGACAAAGCGACGCGAGGTCTCAACGAGAAGGGGCTCCTCCTCCTCGGGGAGGTCAACCTCACCGACAAACTTGCCGTGGACATCGTCGGCCTCGGCGGTCTCGTCAGCAGAGTCGGCGACGGCGTTGGTCTTGGATGCGAGGTCGAGCTTCTTGCCCTTGGTGAGGAAACCAGGGTCGGAAAAGTCGTCGTCGGCAGCGTCGTTGAGGTTGAGCTTGGCGGCGGGCTTCTTGGACGGCGTGGCGTTGACGTCCATGCCGGCGAGGCCAGCGGCGACCTTCTTAGAAGGCGTCTCGAGGTTGTGCTGTGTCACGGCAGACATGGCGGCGAACAAGTATGTGAGATGGTGTCGAGAAAGACGGTGATGTGGATGGCGGCCACAACGAGGATGGCGCAGTGGCGGGGATGGCTACGGTGGCGACGAGAGGCAGATGGGGAAGGCAATGAGAACGTAGGAGGGTATGAGAAGGCCAAGGTGGAGAGAAGAGATGTTGGACGGAAAGGAGGTGGAGACGGAGAAGAGAAGACGCAACTTATGTATGTGCGGGCGTGGACTGAGCCTGGCTGGGAGACGCGCAGAGGGTGAGGGAAGATGACGGTAGGACGCAAGAGCGTGTGGTGTTGGTGCACACGACTGGTCAACGCGTTTGGCGGGCTCGGTCGCGCCTCCGACCCTTTTTTTTCCGCAGAGGATCTGCGCAGTTGAAGCTCTACAGCGAGAGAAAAAGAGCGAGGCTTGACTCGGACACGGATCCGCCGCGCTGACGTGAGCCGCTTTGCCTGGGCGCAAATGCACGCTCTCTACACGACACGCGCCGCCCGCTCGCCGACAAGAAGGGGGAAAAAATTCAACGAAAATCGCAGGGCGGCAGGCGGCAGATCAGCGGACGCGAGGCAGAGGTGTCAGGCGTGGACGGGCGGAATCAACGGACGCGTCTGTCTACGCCACGGCAGGGCTGCCAAAATTCGATGGGCGCCAGACCGGGTCGTGTTGGTTGGTCTGCACACGCGTGCCAAAGCGTGGGCGCGAGACGGGCGCGAGGGTCGCGTCTGATGCGCAGCCTCGCAGCTTCTCCCCTCTGGACGAAGAGCGCCGCGCGCGGCCACACGCATCGGAGCACGAGATTGCCAGCAGCGCGTCTCGACTGTACCTTGGCGTCGCGTAAAGCAGCTTCTGATCCGGGCAGCGCGACAGCGCGACGTGCCTTGCAGGCGTGCCCGGCATTCCAGATCTCCTGGTTCGGTCTTCGTGCAGCAATGTGCAGCTCGAGCCGTCATGCCTGGCGCAGCACCAGCTCGCACTGCGAGTCACTCCACGCTCTCCCACAGCATATATGCGAGCTATGCATGCGTAGCGGAAGTACAACATTCGATGGCCGCGACCATCTTGAGCCAAATTCGCTCGCGTATCCTCATGGACCTGGCACGCCGCGTCCGATCTCGTGGAAGCACGAGGTGACATGCTACCAGTCATCACTACACTTGCGCTCTGGCAGGGCCGGATCAGTGGAGTCATACCTCGTTGTACAGGATCGTTCGCTTTGGTTCGACGCTCGTGCAGGCTGCCCCTCCCGTCTCGGACCATCCCTGCGACGTATCTCCGATCAAAAGCCGACCAAGGCTCGGCCGTTCGTACTGCTGGTGAAGCATTCCCTGAAGCGCTCGCCGGGGCGACAGTCTCGTCTCGAAACACTTCGCAAAGCAACATGCAAAGTATCCGCAACAATCTTGTCTGGATCACGCACACAAGCTTCGTAAAAGTGGAGTCACATCGCGGAATGCTTTCTGCAGCATCTGCGGACAACGGCACCTAGGTAGGTTCAGCCAAAGTCCAACTTGCGATTGTGTGAAACAAGCGAGCACGGTCTTGGCGCTCATGCCGTCTGGCCGACCATCTGATAAGATCGAATCTCCGCGTCTCCTCAAATCACGGCTTGGCGTCCCAAACGCCACGGTAAAACCGAGCCGCGACCCGCGAGGCGCGTTCTGCATCGGCGATCTGCTTTCATGAAATCGACCTCCGATTCGGGCCTCCACCCGCAACCCCCGCACCCGGCAACAATTTGGATTTCAGACGACGGATCCACCGGCCATGGCTCGGAGCATGAAGCTCGCTTGCCGCCTGCTGCCCTTCCCTCGCGGAACTGGCAACACGCTGCGGCCGCAGATCAGCTCGACGAGCGCTGGCTGAAATCAATCTACAGTGAGGGCCGCAGTGTGCAGAGTCCGCCTGCAGTGTTGAATCTCGCTTGATACCTTGGGTCTACTCGCCGGAAGCTATCCACAACGGCTAGAAGGATAGCCGTGCTGCCGGATTCAGGGTCGAGCCCCGTCGATCCTGCTGTGTCTCCTCAGCATTACTGCTTCCCTTCCACACTACACCATACAAGTTCCAGCTGATCTTGTCTCATCGACTTTCGCCCCGGTCAGCATCATCCTCCAGCAGCTCGCGTGCGCATGCCGACAACATGCCGGTGAGCGCAGAAAAGGTGGCCGTCAGGCACCGCACCTCGGACGATTTTCCCCTCGCAGTCACCATCTTTCGCCCCGTCTCGTCGGCCGACGTAAAGGCCAGCGTCGTATTCGCAAATGCCACCGGCGTACAAGCTCGCTTCTACCACAACGTGGCCGCCTGGCTCTCCCAGAATGGCGTCGCTGCTTACACATTCGACTACCGCTTCTCAGGTGCTTCCTTTCCGCTCGAGTGCGACCCAGCCAAGCTCGCCGAGGACGAAGACTACTTTGAGGACGCGCTACGTCGCTGCCCAGACCACGTCGATCTAACCACCACCTGGTGCAAAGTCGATCTTGCTTCAATTGTACGGCTGGCATACGAATCCAATCCTGAAGCCGATGTTACTGTGATCGGTCACAGCCTTGGTGGTCACCTCATGGCGGTCCTCCCATCCGATCATGTGTATGGGCCGCGCGCGAAAGTCAAGCGCCTGCTCAACGTGTGCGGCGGAAATGCCTACGTCAAGAATCAAAAGGAGCCCGACGCCGCCGAGTTTGGTTTCACAGAAATCGTCGTCAAGCCGCTGGCAGAGGAGAAGATCTTTCGCGCCGCCAATCTCGGCCTTGGTTACGATCTGCCATACGGCCCTGGCTTAGAGTGGGTGCAGTGGTACTTCCATCCGCACTTCGCCTTCAACCGGCCCGAAAACATGAAGCTCGCCCGGGGCCTCAAGGGCGTGCCGCTACTCTACGTCGGCTTCGAAGATGACGACAAGATCGGAAAGTAAGTTCACCGATGACACTGCTTTTGCAGGACCAGCTAGAACTGACTCCTTTCTCGCAACCTCACCTCACCTGTCGTGCGCGCTCTCTCCCTAGGAACATGATGGAAAAGTATTTGGGCATGTTTGACCACTCCGACGGGCTCAAACAGAGTCTCTGGATCGACCCTGTCAAGAAAGGCTGGCCCAGCTGCGGACACGTAAACGCATTCACAAAGAGCAAAGAACCAAAGCTCGTCCCCGTCGAGCATGGCGAGGCATACACATCACAAAAGGACTTTGAAGACGCCATCTCTAGCCAGCCGAAACCATCACGCGCCTCTCTGAGCAAGGAGGAAACCATCTGGAAACTGTTTCTCGACTACATTCTCGGCAACCCGGTCGATACATCGCACGCCGAGTACAAGGTCTGGACTCGCCAGGATGAACGCGAGATCGAAAAGGAACGCAGGGAGGACGCCGAGTCTCGTAGAAAGAGCCCTCGGAAAGAAGACATCATTCTGGGTTTTGTGTCTCCCAGTCAGGCTAAGCTGTGATGGAATACAACCCGATACCAAGTTTGCGTGGCTACGGCACGGGGTGTGTCCGCTTGATCAATTCGCCCTCCGGCTCAAAGCGAGAGCAGGGATGCCAAAGAGATGGTGGTGCAGATGACGATGAGGGCCAGTCCCTTCGACAGCGGCCCCTTCATACTCGCAGCATTCTCGCTGCCGGCACCTGTACCAGCCGCATTACCACTGCCAGCCCACAGCTCCGGGCTGCGGGCCACGTCTGCAGCCATGGCGTTCTCGACCTGCGAAATCCATAGCAGCCAACTGCGAAGATACTCGTCGCTACTTTTGATCGCTTGAGCCGGCACAAAGCGCGGCACCGATCCGTTCTGTGCCGAAAGCATGGATGCGTGGTGCTGGATCCGGGCGCTTTTCACCGCCTGAACGAAGCGGAAGGTGACCTCGGGAACCGTCGTTCCGACCACTGTGGCGCCGTCGTTACGCATGAGCACCAGAGGCCTAAAGCCGTCAGTCTCGTTGACGCTGGCGACTGTAGCATCAGCGGGACCGAACCTTGTCGCTAGCGAGAAGCCCTTGGCCACGTCGTCGACGGCAATCGTTGCCGCGTCAGGATCATCGTCAAAGATGCTGAAGACCGGAGCGGGATGAGGTCCCAAGAAGGAAGCGCCTGAGGTCGTCGCAAAGAAGCCAGTGAGGTCGTCTGTCGTCACTAGAGACGTGTTGATCCCGGCGGAGTCCGAAGAGAAGAGCGACCAAGGTAGCAGCTGCTCGGCCTGGTAATAGGCGATACTGTTGACCGTCGAGTTGGGGAACCTCTGATAGATGGACGAGTGGATGAAGATCTCGGCTGGGCGGATCGGAGGCTCATGATCCTCCAAAGCCGCCGAAATGACCTGCGAATCGTTGATCCTGGCCACGGTAACGTCGGCCGGAGTGACTTGGGCGGGTGTCCTGCTACCACCAGTGATCAGAAAGGTGTCTGAGGAGAGCGGATCACGGATGGAGATGTGCCCGGCACAGTCGTCTGCGACCCCCTGCGAGGCGAGAATGCGGGATGCGTTGACGAGCTGGTTCACAGCGAGCTGGCGGGGAGTCAGCTTGGGCAAGCTTTGGAAGCCGAAGCGAGAGTCGGTCCATAGCCTCTGGTCAGTCCGAGATGGTGCATGCGCATTCTCCGCTTCTTTTTTTTTTACTTACGATTGGGAAGCGACATCGAAGCTCGCAAGAAAGAGGAAAAGAATCATACAGCCGAGATGCATCGCTGTCATAGTGACATTGAATCGAGCTGAAGAGAAGAGCGTTCAGTGAAATCGAATTGAGAAGACGGGAGGCGACAGTCGAGTGAGAGTGGCCACTTTATAGGCCTCCTGATGGTCCCGAAGCAGCCCTTGGTCAATGCTCAGCTCAAAGAAACTGCTGATCCGGTCGTCTTTGGCGACCAAAGCGAAGGGATCTTCGGGAAGGGAGCGGTCCCAACATTCTCGCTGGCATCCCTCCGCTCCAGCTGCATGCTCGGCCCTTCCGACGCGATCTCCAACCCAACGAACCATCAAGACAAACGGGCCCTTTCCTTCGCTCGCGTTGGCTCCACCACCGTTATTCGGATATTCCGATGAGAAGAAGCGACTTGAAAGATTTGCTCCGCTCACGGCAGCAGGTAGAAAGCTCAATCGCTGACATCCCGAAGTCCGTGCGCAAATGAGCTGGCCCTAAGCCTTGGCATTATTGATGCGGATCTGAGTGCTTTGCATTACGGAACAACGTGGGATAAATATTGAACACTTCGGAAGTTCCGCCGGGGTATCTTGAAACGTAACGATTCGGGCACAGGAACGCAAGAAGACGCGGAGCTACGAGGAGCCTGCGTTCTTCGGACCCTTCTGCTGGGCCTGGCGCGCCTTCTGAGCCGACCTTTGCTCGAGGCGGATCCAGAGGGGAAAGGTGATCAGAATCACGGCGAGCCAGGCCCAGAGGATGCCAAAGTACTTGAGCATCTCTACGCGCTGGCCGACGTCAAAGATGATCTTGATGTAGATTTGTCGGATGTTATAGAAGGGCATCGAATAGCCGTACTGGTAAAAGGAGGGCGAAAGCTCGATGGGCAGGTTGGCGACCGAGACATTGATGATAATCCAGAAAACGAGAGCAAAGCCGATGAAGCGCGGCCCGACCAGCGAGATGGCGCACTCGGTCACCAAGCCAAGCACGCACATGCCAACAAAGGTAGCAGCCCACCACGTCATGAAACCGGCGCCGTAGCTGAACGTGCGTCCGAAGGGGACCTTGAAGGGGATGTTGAGCAGCGAGATCATGAGGGACAAAAAGAAGTAGCAGACGAGCGGCGCGACGATGCGCATCGCCACCAGCGAGCGGTATCGAAGGAAAGGCTGCAGGCCCTGGCGACCGCCAAAGTTGGCCATGGTGGCGTTGAAGGCGAGGATGCACAGGTAGATGAGGCCCACGACTAAGACGGCGATAGCAACGGGAACATCGTACGGCCGCAAGTCGCGATTGACGGCGATGATCGGGTTGGCAATTGTCTGTGGTGCACTGGCGAGGTTGTTGATGGCGGTCTGGTTGGTGGCAATGGAGCTCAGATACTGCCTGGCGAGCTGCGCGCTGAGCCGTGCGAGCGCCTGGTTGAGTGTGGCTGTTGCTGGAGCAAGCACCATAGACGGAAGGGCTTGGAAGTTGCGAGAAGTAGCATAGGTGAGAGAGACGACAGAGCGAGGGTCCCAAGACGCATCGCCGTTGGCACGCGCCTGCTCGAGCTTTGCGGTGGCATCCTCTTCCACCGTGACAACGATCCAAGTGGCCAGAGTGTTGGTGACCTGGTAGTCGACTTCATCCTGCGTGGGGAAACGATTGGGATCGATGACCGTCCAGGTGCTGTGCGGCTTGGCACCCTCATTGGCAGCGAGAAACGCCTCTTGGACGGCCGAGCCGATCTCGCCACTGTCGCGGTTGATGATCCATCCGTTGAGGTTGGGCGAAAGATCGCTCTCCTTCCAGACCGAGCCCCAATACATGCTGATGATGGCCCATACAAAGATGCAGATGATGAGGGTAGTGCTACCGATGGCTTTGAGATAGGCGGCACGTTGCGCGCGCACTCGCGGCGACCAGAAGGTCTCCTGGCCGAGTTGCGGAGGCTGCCGCGCCGGTGTAGGCGCTTGCTCTGATTCTGCCTGCATCTCCTTGGCAGTTTGCGGCGAGTCGTGAGCCCCGTGCACGGCAGAGCTCCCCTCGGTGGAGCTGCTCGAAGCGAGTCGTTGCTCGGATGCCATTTTTCTTGAGGAGGACGGGGTCGATGAGGTTGACCAAGGACGTTGGAAGAAGGATGATGGAGGAACGATCAGGGCTGTCCTGTCATTGCGAGAGCGCCGCTTTTATAATAGGAAGGATCGTGTCTCTAGTGAAGGAGGAAGATTCGCTGGACGCGCCGAAAGCGATGTGAGCCACGGAGATGAAGGGGGTGGTCACCGTGGCTGGCTTCACTGAAACTCCGTGGGATGAGGATCCCACGCGATTTTGATAGCATCATCCGCAGCAGGGGTGAAACACCGAGTCGCTCGCTTGACGGCTGCACAAAATGATGATGCAGCGTAAAATGCGCGTCCCAGATCCGGGTTGAGTGCGGACCGCAGGCACGCTGAGATCCCGCCTCATCTCTTCACACGGAAATGTCGAACGCGCAGGCAGGTTACCGCGGCTTCTCCGGTGAGCAGCGTTGTTTGCGGACGCGGGACTCGAATACGGGCTGTTCCTAGACCCGAGGTCCGAATCGCCGTGGCTCAGCGGCGCTCCGCTCGCAACTACCTTTTGTTCAAGCTCGCCTATGGACGAGTGCTGTGCGTGAGCATAGGCCATCTTTCATGGCTCTGCCCAGCCGATTATTGTCGTGAATCAGCGCGGAAATTTCCCGAACTGCAGCTGTGAAGACCAAGGCGGAAGACCCGAGTGCCCTCGATGCTCCAGCAGGCTCTGAGTTCGTGCGGAAAAAGCGCAGGGTTGCGATGCGATCCACCAAGTTTAGCTCACAGTTCTCTTGGGAGGTTAGTCAACTCTCGTTGAGCGTGCAACGGAGCCCCTGAAGGCAAGTAGAGCCCGACGGCGGTCTTTCTTCCGCTCCGACTCCAAGCACAAAAGGTGTGAGGATGTGGACGTGCGGGATTATGATCCGGATTTTCCGCGGCGTTTCCGGGCAGAAGGAAGGGGTCCCACCATGCGGATCGATTGGCAGCAGGATGCTTTCCCGCTCGCATCCTGCTCGCTGCAGCCAACGCCTACCTTGTCGTCGGCTTCCTCTCAACTGCGCTGTATCAATCCTGCGGCAACATTAAACCGCCGGGTTTGAAAAGACGCAAGGGCCTATCAGATTAAGCTTTGCCTCCGCATCTGCTTCGGGATCCCGCCACCTTCATCGAACTGAGCTCAGAAGATCCATGCACCATGCTGAGAGAACAGAGACTGCTGATGCCGCGGCAAATCCGCTCGGTATGACTGGATGAAGAGACTACATGTGGAAGGACACGGCAGCGTTAACTGCGTTGAGATGACGCTGTTGCAGTGCTGGCCGCAGTCGTCGACCGTCGGCTCGGATCCGCAAAAGGCTCAGTAGCCACCGCGTTGGAGCTCGATGGCTCCCAGGACGAGCAGCGCAAATCCCAGAGGCAGCACCGCGGCAAAGACGATGACATCCTGGTAAATGCGCTTGCCCCGCGTCCGACGTTGCAACTGGCGTTCCTTTCGAGCCAGCAGGATCGTCGTGGCCTCGTCGCGGTCATCGCTCGTCTGTTCTGTAAGATGGCTTGGAATCGATGCCGAATCCTGGTCCAGAGACGCGGGCGGAACGTGTCGGCTCGAGCGGTGCGAGTGCAGTCCCGAAACAGCGCTTGCAGCGTCTGAATTTGACGCACGAGGTCGAGCGGTGGCAGAACTCGCGGACGCACCATCGTTTTGGTCTTGATCGGCACCGTCGGCACCGGCCAACAACGGCTGTCGCTCGCCGTCTTCTTTCTGCCCACCGCCTCCCAGCAGATAGTGACGATTCCTCGCCAGCATTGACAGGGGACCACTAAAGTAAGCCGATGCAGTCCTGCCGAGCTCGCTCGCAAACGGTGGCAAGATGGCGCGAGGCCGTCGGATGTGGAAGAGAATCATCCACACCAGACCTGGCATCACAAAGCCAACGCCGGCGCCCATCAGACCGAGCACCTCCGAGGCTCGAGTGAATCTTGCTTCCTCGCCTGCCTTCTCCGTCCGACGGAAACCTCCGGCGCCTGAGAGGAAGGCACTCGCCGCTGTCACGCCCCACAGAAGAAGACCAGCCAGAGCGTTCCGAGCGGGTTTGCCCCACTTCCGCTTCCACCTTCCGATCTGCGAGATCTCTTCGCCCGAATGCGTAGCATTGGACACGTTTGCATGCGACATGGATCCGCCCGTTCCGCCAACAAGGGGTGACGATGTAGCCGGCTCGTCAAGAGGCAGACGGATGGCCTGCTGCCGTCGTCGTAGCGGGTGAATGTTGAGCTGCCGGAGCAGCCTGCCCCACGAAGAGCGAGCCGTGGTGAGGCAGATGGCAAGATGCGTGGCGAGAATGGCAACAAAGAGGATCCTGGCGACATTGATCAGATCGTCATCATTAGGCAGAGAGGCGAACAGATTCGGATGGCTGTTTTTTCGCAATCGTCCCTGCACGCCATTGACGCCCGCAACCACACCGAACAGGATGCCCATGACAATGATGAAGAGCACCTGACCAGCTTGTGCGCCAATGAAAGCCTTGACGTTTGACCGCGAGGTACCGATCCTGCGCAGACTGCGCTGATGCGCCAGGATCTGCAGCGGGCAAGCACTGAGCGTTAGCAGTGGCAGCAAGGAGATAGGCGCCCAGACGGATGGGGGATGCAGAGGATTGATGTTGGGCCATCCGTCGCGCCCGACCGGCCGGCCGCTGGTCGAAGGGGCCGCAGTAAGAACCACTGGAGGCGTGCTGGTGTAGATTTTGACCAGGATGATGGTGATGATAATCGGATAGAAGGTCAGCGAGAAGAAAGTGTTGAGTCGGATCACATTGCGCTTGGCGAGTGGAAAGATGACGAGTGGAACGGAGATGAGTCCGCCGACGACGAGGGTGACGAAAGCTCGATCGTGCAGAGGTACACCTCGAGGCGCGTAGTTGAAGAAGACCTGCAACAGCAGATCTGCGAGGGCAAAGTAGCCAATGATGGCGCTTCCAGTTGCGTACAGTGCGAGTAGGAGACCCGACACTACCCTGCCGAGACCGCCCTTCCAAGGCGTGTATCTGCCGAAGCTGGCACCGACGATAGCCTCTATCGAGCTGCCATTGACGTATCGGCTCAAAACGACCCAGAGCCCGCCGCCTACTCCGCCCAAAGTTGCGACGACGACCAATGCGATCGTTCCGAGCAGAACGCCGGTACGGGCAAAGTAGTGGGGCATGGACAGCAGCACAGCCGGGTGCAAACTGGCCGAGAAGAGATTGGCCGATACGTGAGGGGCCGAGAGGCTTGCTGGCGTTCCTGGATTGGTGAGGAGCTTCCACCAAGTTTTGCGATGCTCGCGGGTCGGCCGAAGCGACTGGAGATACGACTCGGGCCGTGCTTTCTTTTTGTTGGCGCGCTTGCTGCGCCTTGCGGCGGTGTCGCAGGTGGCCGCAAGAGGCAGCGTGCGATCCTGATGCAGCGGATGAGCGGCGTCTTCATCTTCGCTGCTATCGTCCCAGGTCTGCCCGACTTCGATACGGCCTTGGCGTAAGTAAGCATCGAACTCGGACGCAGTGTCGCTCTCGCCTTCTTCTAGCTCGTCGGGGTCGAGACGTGGACGCCCCAAACTAGATCGGGAATGCGGCGCGGAATCATCGTCTTTGTAGGGCGACATGGGAGCGCGATCCCGGCTGCTGCCTTCCATGTCATCGTCATGCGGGCGACTGTGATGGACTGAAAGGTGCGATGGCTGTGTAGAGACTGTTGGATACCGGTTCGTTGCTGACGGGTCCGACGAGGAAGACTCCGTCATTGCCGAAATCTTGTCAGACGCTGCTGAACCGTTCAATCTAAGCCAGGTGAGATATATCCGTCTGTTCTAGGGACTGCTTGGCGGCGGATTCGAAGTCCAATCAGTGGAAGACTGGACGCAATAGCGATATGCTGAGGGAAGGTGCAGATGGCGGTTGACGTCGACCACACAGGTGGTGATGTGGAGGCGTGCTGCCGAAATCAGGAAGCAGACGCCTCGACGCACAGACGCGGGGAGAAAATGTTCAAAAAAGAAAGGGGGCCAACCCGGAATCGAACCGGGGACCTCTGTCAACTTAGTGCGACCTTCCGGAGAAGGCAATGCCCTAAGACAGCATAATAAGCCACTATACGATTGGCCCGCTTCATGACTTCCCTCCTTTTGATTGAATGTTTATACTCGCTGCAAATGCAAATCGGAGAGCTCTTGCGTAGTCGGGCTCAAGGGACAGAGAAGACAGGGGGCGAGACAATTCCGAGCAGGACCGAGCGATGTCGAGAATGAGTAGAGTACAATTGCCAAGAATGCGAGCGAGAAAAAGAACTAGAATGCGTGGGGAAGGTGGGAGCATGGGTATCAGAGGAGCCCATCCAGCCTGTGCATCGCCTGACGGTTGAGAGACGGCGACGAAGGCAAGGGGCAGATCAGGTTGAGGGGTGAAGCATGGCATCCACGGCGGATTCTTCGACATGGTCGACGGAAACGCTAGAGTGGCCGTTTGTGTTTGTGCTTTCGTGCGGCTCGTGCATGGACGACGTCGCGGATGCCGTCTTGTCTGCCGTCACAGTGAGCTGGGACTCGATTCCGGCTCTGGGGCGGTGAGGCTTGCGACGGAGAGGGAGTTGAGCCCATACCTCCTTGCGACATGTGGGACAGGAGACCCACTTTCCGACCGTGTCCTTGTGCTGGCCAGGGTTCGGGTCCGCCAACGACGGTTCGACCTGTTGCAGAGCAGCGGCGTCTTGAGAGTCGTCTTCTCCTTCTTCATCGTCATCGTCGTCGTCGCTGACAAAGAGATCCAGGTGGTCGCTGGTGCAATTGGGATTCTCGATGCGCATGCTGGTGCACAGGCAGTCGAGATGGACTTCGTGGCGGCAGGGCGAGAGCTTGACGAGATCGGTAGTCATGTCGTCGCTCGTCTGTGGAAGCTCGAGATGGGCGTCGTCGACGCGAGACTCGTTCGGGTAGCGGGGTAAGCATGCGGGTGCATCGCATCGCCATCCGCGTTGCCTTTCGCGTGCACGCACCTCGTCGCGAAGGCTGGTGTGCACGGGCGGCGTGGTCGCAGAGGTGGACTTGCGTGCGGCGGCATGCGACGGTGGAGACTGCGTGGTGTCTGGACCGGCACTGAGGCTGGCGCGGCAGAAGGGGCATGTCCACTGCGAGGGTGGCAGCTTGCTGAGCCAGTCGCGCAAGCATCCCGCATGAAGGGTGTGGTGACCGGTGCAGGGAACGGCGACGACGGCCTCGTCGTGGCTCCTGGGGCCATCGATCCACTCTGGGCGGTCTTCGGCCTCGTAACTGTCGAGACAGACGCCGCAGCCGAGGAGCGTGTCTTGATCGTCGGAGCCGGAAGCAGTGGCGAAGCCTCCGATGCTGCCAATGCCGAGCCTGGCCATGCGGGAGCGCAGCTCGGCGTCGGCGCGTTCGAGCTGCTTTACGTAATTTGCGGCCTTTTGGGGGTCGGGCTGTTCGGGCTCGGGGGCGGGTGCAAAGTGGATGTCGAGGATGATGCGGAATGGCGGACCGGCTACTAGACGAGGTTGATGCGATTGGGGAGCGTCGGGCGAGGGACCACCGGGAGGGGAGCCTGGCGTGACTTGCGCGATAGGCCAGGCGGTTTGGGTGGTGGCGTCGTAGATGAATGAGAAGGGCAATGGCGAGGCTCCGAAAGGGAAGTAAAGAGGGGAGACGGGGACGTGACCTGCAGGATGCGGATGTGCGTTGGGAGGCGTAGGCGTAGAGTGGGTACCTGCGGCTGCGTTGGCCCCTGGACGATCGGAGGGAGACGAGCTGGTGCCAGAGGCTGGCGAGGTCTGCGGGTCGGACGAGGCGCTGGAGGTTGGGGGGCGTGCAGGAGTGTCTGACTGGCTTTGCGCATTGGTGGACTGCGAGTCGCGGTTGGGGAGAGGCTGCGGATGGAAAGCCAGGAGGGCTGGGTTGCCATCGGGGCCGTTGAAAGGCAGCCTGAAGTAGAGAGGTGGGCGGGGCAATCCGCTGGCATCGGTCTCTACACCAGTATCTGAGCGGTTGGTCGACTCATTTTGGTTCTGCGCTTGCTGACTCGCTGGAGAGGGTGCCGAGCGAGGAACCTGAGGTTGGTCGGGGTGGGACTGCGGCTGCACATCGTTCGAAGGGTGGGTGGGGTTGCGATGAACGACGTTTCGCAGGCTGGCCATGAAGTTTTCCCAGAGGGTAGGTACCGGCTCCGACGAGGATGCGGCAGAGGCCGTAGCATTGTCGTTCGAGTGCTGCTGGGAGTGGTCGGCTGAGCCTGCCCGAGGCTGCGCAGAAGGCGACGACGACGAGGGAATCGAAGATGCTGGAGGTGTTTGCTCGGCGGCGACGTCTGAGGTGGATGCATGATGAGCATCAGATGGAGACTGCTCCTGTCCGTTCTCCTGCTGTTGCTGCTCATGCGTCGCGTTGGGGGCATCGGAGCGAGGCTCTAGATTTGAGGAAGAGGAAGCGGAGGGAGGCTGCGAGGAGTTTGCTTGCTCCATGGTGGTAGCGATGATGGCGCCATAGGCAGGGAGCTGGCCAAGGGGATGGTTGCGCTAGTTCAAAGAGGGATGATGGTAGGGGGAGGAGAGGGCGGGAGAGGGCACGAGTGAGTCTCAAGTAAGTAGCGGCTGAGTAGTTGTGGAAAGGTTGCCGAGCGGCTGCGTGGAGGGTGCGCATTTGGTTTGGGTTGATTGCCGGGCTGTCACAATCGGCCCCACCACGGCGCACAGCTCCGCAGCTGCGCAGACAGCATAAAGCCTTATTCGCGCGTGGAGGCATGCGCTCGCTCGGCTTATTTCCGAAAGATTACACCATAGCCGGTCATGGCAGACGTGGAAGCCGCTATGCACATCACTAGGGCTGTACACCCTTCTTCCGACCCTGAAAGCATGAAGCAGGCACAGAGCGGCGTTGAGCGATGTGCGGCAAGCGCTGCGGCTGGATGCAGGCGGTGCTGGATGAGCTAATGCCATTGGCAAGTGTGGGGACGCTCGAGTGGGGAACGGTGGCGCGCTACCTTCCACAAGCTTCTGGCAGCGTCTCACGCGGACGTGCCGTTTTTTCATATCAAAAATGTGAGATTTTCTCTATGTGACAATGTGGGTCTTGCGAAAATGATTCGAGAGGAGAACAACACTGAGACGCGGCGGCTCAGCTGGACAGGGGCGAGGCGCGTGGGCGGCTGCGAGGCCAAAATATGCAGCCTCCTGCACCCTGCAGATCCCCCCAAAGCCACTCAGGGGCTCTGTCACACCCGCCCTTCCTCTCGCTGTCCATCTACCCCCTGACGCTCCTCATAGACCCGCCTGCCTTCATTTCCATTCGTGTCCCGACCTTGCGCTGAATGTCATCGCATCCGTCCTCCGCTCTCTATGAGCACGAAACGAGCAACCATCTAGCTTCTCCATCTCCTCCTCCCCACCATAGACTCTTGACACACCAACCTGCGCTGGCAAACAGTCTTTAATCAGCGGCGACACCATGTCGACGGCGATGCAACCACGCGCACTGCCCACGATCACCGTCTTTACGCATCCAGCCGCGCGTCTCATCAAGACGGTGCCGCCGCTAGAACCTCCCAAGCGCATCAACGGACACGTTCCCAGAGACAACATCGGTGTCGGTCGCACCGCCTCCAAAGATGTCGTGCTCACTGACGTCTACGGCCCGCTTTCCATCCTCGTCGTGCCCGACCCGCTCGACCCCACTATCGCCACCCTCGTACTCTCGGTCACCTTGAGCGGCCCACAGCTTCAGGGCGCGGCTCGCCGCTTCGTCCTTCCCTTCCGATCCTTCCAGCGCGACCCCGTCTCCGGCGACATCATCTCCCAATCCAAGATCTCGGGCTTCGATGCTGCAGATCGCACCCTATATCCCGGCCTCGGCGCTGGTCTCAAGGGCCTCGACGGCGGCAGCTTCTGGTTCTTCGAGGACATCGGAGAAGACGGCGCATTCGATCGATACAGATGGAGCAAAGATGGCGTAGCAAGTCGCGCCATCTGGACCGTATGGCTCATCAGCACTCCTGCTCCCGTCGTACATCACGTTCAAGCATTGCTTCAGTCTTACCCTGCTCCCCTGCCTTCTCTCCCTCCCTGGCTCAAGGAAAACAATGGATACCCGTGGAAGGACACCTTCCTCGCCCTTCCCTCCTCCTCGCTCGCATCATCCTCCAATTCCGAAGACCATGACCAGCCGGCGGAAGGATCTGCGTCGCCGCTCGTGTCGTCCGATGCTTCATCTGCAATCACTACACCCAGCGCAAAGCTCGATCTTGCAGCTGACACTCTATCAAGTCTGACACACGAGGCGACAGCAGTCCCAACCATCCGTTCGAGGCGGCTGCGCGATGGTTCATCGTCTATGCGCATTGGTGACGCTCCTGAAGTCGTTCTCCGCAACGTCAACCGCAACGTCACTCATTCAGAGTACCGCAACAGCTTGGTCGCCGTCGACAATCGCACCGGACAGATCGTCAGCGTTCTCGCTTCCCACATCAGTCTCGAGGCGGACGACCCCGCCGTAGCTTCCACAGCCAGCAGCAGCGAGCCCGATCTTGATGCCCACGAAGACCACGAAGCCATCACCCCTCTTGACGAGCTGGTTCCTGCCCTGCCTGACAAGTCGCCTTCACAAGCTCTCGGCTCACATCCTGCGCCCTTACCACTTTCACAAGATCTTGCCGAAGAGCAAGTCGACGAGGAGGAGCATGGATCCGAAACTCCCAAACCCAGCACGATCGTCCATCGTCCTGCTGCCATCCACAACGATCCTGATGCACAACGTCCGCCTTCTCGCACAGCTTCCATTCTCGCCGCCGACACCTTTGCGCCACCGCCCTTGCCACCCAAACCAAGGTCGGCCAGCCGTGCTCGTGCCCACTCTCGCACTACAGCTGATGCGCCGGCCTCGCGTCGCACCAGCACCGCCTCGGCCTTCTTCACTGCCGAGTCCGATGCAGACGCCATGTCCAGCTACGATTCCGATGCCATCGAGATCGACGCCAGCTCCATCTCGCACCACAACCTCCCCTCCAGCTCCATCTCGATCCGAGGCCATGCCTCGCACGACGTCGAAAAGCACAGGCCAGAGCTTCTTCGAGACGCCAACCATGCAGACTCGGACGGCGAATATGCTTCCGATGCTAGTGGCAGCACTGTAGGTGGCCCAGCCGTGCGTATGTGGCGTAAGGCAAGAGGCAAGCCGAAGAAGAAGCCTGCTCGAGCAGTTCAGAAGGCTGGTCTTCAGTCGGCTCATCCCACGCAACGCGTCAAATCCAGGCAAGCAAGCGAGCTGTCGGATCGAACCAGCAAGGCCGAAACTGCACTGGAAAGCATCTCGGATGATGAAGCAGTTCAGCAGCCCCAGGGTCGAATTGCTGCGACCACTGACTCCAACCCACCTTCGCCAGAACAAGACATTGTCTCGCCCTTGAAGTCCGCACAACCTTCTCCGGGCGTGGGTCAGCATCTGCGTCGCTCGGCGCTGCGCACCGACGAGGTGCGCTCCATCGAGGACCGCGTATGGCGCGAAGCGCTCGACGCGAGTCAGCTGCCCATCGACGCACCGTACACGCATCTTGCTGCGCGCGGTGAGGCTGGTTTCTACCCCTCGTCGATCCTGTCCAGCCCGCGCTCATTCGACGACGGCTCGGCCATCGAGCTGCTGTCCACCGAAGATAAGCGGCGTCAAGTGCAGCGAAAGAAGGCCGAGCTGCACAAGCAGAACCAGCGCGCCGAACGTATCAAGAACATGCAGGGCGGAACCGTGCTCATCGAGTTCCTCGCAGGATCGAGTCGTATCGGCGCCAGCTTGATTCGCAGTGCAGGATACACCCCGACGACCTCAAACGACGAGGGCGTCCACGACGCAGACTCCAACACGCACCTTTCGGCAGGTGACACGGCCTCGAACATGCTGAGCTATGTGCCGGTTCTGCCGCAGCATGTGCTTGGCTTTTTCGGTCTCGGAACGCGCACGGTCCGGACGCAGGTGGAAGAGACGCCCGATGTGTCGTCGCCGACGCTTGCTGGCGCGTACTTTTCGAGCCTGCGCATGCCGAGTCTGGGTGGACTGTTGACCGATGCATCCGACTGGGTCACGGGATTCTTTGGACGCAGTTCTGTCGACGCCAAGCCGAGCACGGCAGTGGAAGTGGAGGGCGATGGTTCGAAGGCGGAAGAATGGGAGTATGCCATTCCGGACTTTGACCCCAACAGCCTCGCCAGCACTCCCAGGCCCGTGTACCGACGCAAACGCCCCGTTCCCTCGGCCATGAACGGGTTCAATATCTCTGCGCCCCGCTGCTCAGACGACCCGGGAAAGGGCATTGAGGTTCCTGCGCCTCCATCAGCTGCAGCCAAGACAATTCAAACTGCCGAAACTGCATCGACAGAGGAAGCCGGCTACTCGATCCTGCACATCGACAGTCTCGGTGTGGGCCGTCGCGCGTTCCTCCGTGGCCATCCTGAATTCGAAGGCCTCCGTCCCTGAACCTCGTCGTCATCCTGCTTCGCCAACTGCCGCCATTATTCTCATGATTTTCTTACGACCACACTTCATGACCGCGCCTGTCAATACCCACTCATGCTGTCCATGCTGTCCAGAATAGCACACTCTGTGCGGGCCGTCGATCCGGGGTCTGAAAGTGGTATCATTCGTAGCTGAGGAGATCCGTGGGTGCGAAGAAAAGAAGAAGAATACAAATGGGCGGCCAGAAGCTGACATCTCTTAGGACGACGTACGCGTTGCAGCAGTGGGAGCGGCGGTGTGTTGGTCTGCGCCGCCGTAGGTGCCGGCACGATCGCCGAGCAACGGGTCGAGAGTGAGTGTCGACGTGTTGTAGCCGCTAGGACCATCGCCAGGCGCAGGAGTGGTCATCTCGTCGCGAGACAGGTTCGAGTTGACACTAATGCTGGGTCGTGGGTCTTCCGAAAAGCGCGTCATGGGACCATTGATGGCAGACGCAGGCACGGGGTCTGCTCCCAGCGCGACGTTGCCATGCTGCGCGACCATGGGCTCGGGCATCATCATCCGTGTCACCACGTCACCAAGCCCCTCCTGGTGAGATGCAGCAGGGACGGTGGACAAGCCCGGCGCCCCGAGAACAGCGGCGGTCTCGCTGTCGATCGTTTCGCTGCCGCTGACACGAGGGCCATTGGTGGTGCCATCCGCATTTCGGGCATTGGCCGCAACGCCGCCTTGGTTTGTGGACCGCGCGTCGATGGTGGTCTGACCATCATCTTCATTGGACGCGTCCTTCTCGGCCTGCTTGGCGGCGGCCTCCATGGCAGCCTTGCGCTCGCGAGCCTCGTGCGCGTTTGTGACGAGGCGCATGAGTTCGGATCGGAGCGGCTGGTAGGCTTCCGACGTGCCGGCAAAAGGCTCGCGTCCGGCTGCGGAACCGTGGATGCGAGTGAAGATGGGCACGCTGGCGGTTCCAAACACGAGTTCTGGCAGTTCCTCCTCGTCTTCATCGTCGAGATGCGTGTTGTGGATGTCGGCCGCATTGGCCGTATTGCCCTCGTCCTCGTTCATCTTGTTGAAAAAGGCCTCCCTGCGTGCGTCGCCGATGCTCTTGGCGGAAGCGGCGGTGCGGAAGCTCTTGATACTGGCGGTGCGTCTGAGGCTGCGAGAGGCGTCGCCGGCGCCTTCCTCCACCTCGTCGATCTTGGCCGAGGCAGCCGGATCGAGCTTAAGCGATCGCTGCGACTTGAGTGCCGATGCATTGTTGGAGAGGTGCGCGGAAGGGAAGACGGTGCGCTGCGACGGCATGGCGATGAGGACAGTGACGTTGACCGAGGCTGGAGTGCTGGAGTCGGGAAGCGCGCGTTTGGAGTCTCCATCGGCGACGCCTGCGCCTGATTCGTTGAGAGCGCCATGGCTGCTGCCGTCTGCGCCTTCGCTGGCGTGACTTGCGTCGCCATTGCGACGGAGGAAGGACGGAACGTGCAGACGACGCGTCAATCTGCCCGAGGATGCCGAGGTTGGGGGATACGAGTGGCTGGCTGTGCCGTCAGCGGTCTGTCTCTCGCCTGGCGCTTGACCGTTGGCAATGTTGTTGGTGTTGTTGTCTTGACCTTTGGATTTGGCGTTGTTGGGGAAAAGATCCGAGTAGAGGACCGGTGGAACTGCGGCCGAGATGGGCATGACGGCGTCCCAGCCGCGAGCCTTTACATCGGCGTCGAGGGCAGTGGGGCGGAAGTCGTGAGCGATGCGAGCCTCGAGCAGCTTGGGCGGGGGCAGGGTGTCTTCGATCTCTCTCGTTGGGCCAAGGAGACGGTCGAAGGGTCCGTCGGGAAGCAAGCCGAGTCGACGGAGGCGGCGATTGCGCATGACGATCCTCAAGAGGACGAAGCAGACGACGATGACGAAAAGGGCGATGGCTGTTACGGCAAAGGCGAGGAAGGGAACGGGAAGGTTAGGACCTGAGAACGGGAAAGGGTTGGAGGAGCTTTGTCGCCGGACGAGGCGGGTGGAAGTGCGTTGGGCGTTTGTGGAAGGGGAGCGAGGCTGCCAGAGTGCGAAAGCAGCGGAGGAGCGAGAGAAAGGAAAGGCGGTGGTAAGAGACTTGTACTAACCAATGATCAGGGTCTGCATCGCGAAAGTGGGACGTGGAAGCAACGGTGTGCGAGTACGACAAATGACGAGGTAGGATGGTTAGAGGATGGACATGATGAGCTGGTGAACAATGGGCTGGAAAGGCAAGAGGCTGCACTGCGGGCTTTGTGAGAGCGCGCGCGCCAAGTGTGGCAGCTGGCTTGGATCGGAGGGGTGGGAATGTGTGAGAGGGGTAGAAGGCCTTTCTTGGAACTTACGAATACGCTAGGCGGAGTACGCGAGCCTGCGAAAGGGTTGTTGTAGTCGGTCTGGGTGGGAGGGGCCGAGGAGGTGGAGGACTGTCGCTTGTTGAGTCTGCTTGGAGGCTGCGGAATGGTTTGGCTGGCGAGCTGGCTGGAGGATTGGTCGAGCTTTGCCTTTGCGTTTTTGTCGGACCAGATGCGTTCGATCTCTGCGATAAAGTCGGCGGGTTCGTGACCGAGGTCGCAGTTTTTCCAAGCGCCTCCGTCGCGGATGCAGCGCTTACCGCTTTCAAAGACGATGGTGCACGAGGTGCCGGTGTTGGCGCGTTGGGAGGCCTTGACGCTGCGCTGAAGCAGTTTACGGCCGTGTTTACCGTGGACGCAGTCTGCAATGCCGTCCTTCTGCCAGGCGGGACCATCGATGAGGCGGAGGCATCGTTGTGCGAGATCTTCGTCGCCAATTTTGGCGAGGCCGGCGTAGTTTTGGCACTGGAGGAAGTTCCACCACTTTTTCTGGGCGGCGCTGGGGCTGAGGTCAAAGTCTTCGCCGGCGCGTACGGGATTGAGCGCATCCTGGACGCAGAGTTGCTGTACGTTTCCGGCACACTCTTGCTCGCCGTGCTTGCAGACGGCGCCGTACCTGTGTTGGCGCTTGTCGTTGTCGGGAGTACCGATGTAGGTCATGGTGAGGCGGGTCTTTGCGTTTACGCGGTCCAGGACCTTGTCGAAGGCGGCCTCGCATGCCAGGGCATCGGGACATCGCGACATGACGGCGAGGGTGACGTTGACTCGTTGCACACCGGCGGCATCGTAGTTTTCTTGGGACGCCCCGGGTGAGAGGAAGGGAGATTGGGAGCGAGACTCGAGCGATGTGTATGTTGGGCTCGCGTGTGCTGGGGGCGAGCACCAAACTAGCATGCTGACGAGGACGAGGGTGAGGGCGCGCCACGCCTGATGCGGATGTGCGGATGCGAACATGCTTGCGGTGGTGGATGCGAGGGAAGCAAGCGCCTTTGCAAGATGCGTGATGGGTCTGGGCCCTAGAGAATTCGGAAAGACTACAAGCTCATGAGAGCCTGATGATGTGCTTTGCCAAGCTGGATGGCTGAGAGAAGGCGATAAGAGGCAGCGAGGCCGAGTCGCCGTCGAATTGCAGGGATGCGAGACGGATGAACGGCGAGCGGGAGGAAGCGATGGTGGGTGTGGATGTATGTGCCGTCGCCTCGATGGTGATGCTGCGATGACGGCTCGGGGGCAATAACCTGAGATGATGTTGTTGGTGGGTTGAGAGATGCAGAGGAGCGGCGATTGAAAGTCGAGAGCGAGATGCAATATCGCAATTCCGCCCAAAGTGGACTGATCGTGGATGGCGAGTGGAGAGAGAGAGAGAGAGAGAGATGAGAGCGCGGGGTTCAGGCACGCTGCCCGCCGCTCCCTGCCTCTGCCTCTGCAGCTTGGCTGAACCCAACCCACGGCGCGGCTTAGCGCGGCTCAGCCCAGCTCACAGCCCTAAGCGGGGCACCCGGCGAGTGAGGCTGGGCGCTGCTAGCTAAGCCAGGCACACGGCGTCTCGCTTTGAGACGGCTGAGTCAAGCGACCTGCCGATTAGAGAAAATCAATTTTGACGATTGGTACTTTACTTCGGCCTCACAAACCAAATCAGATTTCGGCTTTCTCGGAAAGGTCCGATGCGCACTCGAGGGTGTCGAGACCCTGATCCGAGTCGGAAACAAGGCTCGAGCAACGGCTCCTCCTCCTCMTCATCATCCGCATCTGCATCTGACCGGCAACGGCCGACACTTGCTCCCTTCGGCGTGCTTCGGAAGAGCCGTCTCTTGATATATACGCTTCACTCACCCACCCACCAACAGCGCTTCCCCAGCCACATCTCTCCGCACGCTTACCTCCATCATGCTCTCCACGCCCTCCACATCCTCGAGGCTCGCTCGGGCCCTCGTCCGCAGCTTGGCCAGGCCGTCAATCGAGTCGGCACCGATCATTAGACTACAGCGTAGTCTCACCAACCAGGCGTCTCCTCTCCAAGAGACCAATGCTGTCCGCGAGATCCACAAGCTCATGGCCGAGGTGAGGGGCGCTCACCCGCAAAAGCTCAAGCTCAGCATGCCCAGTGAGTCAGACCGTCGGTCCGAGAGCCCTGATACATCGACTGACTCTGTTGCTCCTGCCTCTTCGCTCAACAGCTCGCCTTGCTCCGCGCAGAAGCTGGATGAAAGAGATGCAGTCCCAATCGCAACAGTCCTCCTTACCCGATTCGTCATCCACGCCTTCAGCACCCTCGCAGCACGAGCTTCCGGAATCCATGCTCAAGCCAAAGCGCATGCAGGACAGCTACGTCGAGCTCTACTTGCCCTTCACCGAGGACCCAGAACTGCTCGAAAAGTACATCGCAACCTCGGGCCTCATCCGGCTCGGCAAGGTCCTCGAAGATCTCGATAGTCTGGCGGGCGGAAGTGAGTATCCAACAAGGTCTGCCTCTTTTCTTCCGCATGCGACTCACACTCACACTGATCTCCGTCTTCCTCGTTTGCTTGGACTGCAGTCTCATACCAGCATGCCCTCGGTGGTCGACCGGGCGAAGTATCCGCGCCGATCTACATTGTGACCGCCTCGGTGGATCGACTCGACCTCCTGGCGCCGCTCACCGCCGATGCCAACTACCGACTGAGCGGCCACGTGATCTACGTCGGCTCGAGCAGCATGGAGGTGTTCGTGAGCATCGAGCAGCTCACACCGCCCACGCAGCCCAACAAGATCTGCCTTACGGGTCGCTTCACCATGGCGGCGCGCAACGCGCACACGCTCAGCAGCCAGCGCATTGCCCCCCTCATCCTCGAGACCGACGCCGAGAGGGCGCTGTTTGCCATGGGCGAGAGCCACAAGAATCGCAAGCGCGCCGAGGCCGCCTCGTCGCTCGAAAAGGTGCCGCCCAGCAAGGACGAGGCCTTCCTGCTGCATAGCCAGTACATCCGCGGTCTGCATGCCGGCATGTTTGCCAACACCGACGAACTGCACGGCCCCGCGCTCAAGGCGGAGCCCGTTACCAGTGCAGATGGATCGACGCTCGTACCCGTGCGTCGCACCAGCATGAGCACCACCATGCACATGCATCCGCAGCAACGCAATGTCCACCAGAAGATCTTTGGTGGATTCCTCATGCGCTCCGCCTACGAGCTCGCCTGGATGGTCTCCGGTAAGCAAAGCCCCACCCTTTCCCCTCCGACTTTGAATGAATCGGAACTGACGCTTTCCTTTCTCTCCTTGGCCGATCCGCAGCATCGCTGGTCAACCGCCACGTGCAGTTCCTCTCGCTGGATGCACTCTCATTCCACGCTCCCGTTCCCATCGGTGCGATGCTCCAGCTCTCGTCCCAGATCGTATACACTTCCGAACCAGAGCAACATCCACACGGCCACACCATCGCTGGAGTTACCGTGCTCGCCGAAGTCGTCGACCTCGAGACGGGTGAACGCAAAAAGAGCAACACCGTACGTCCCCCCCCCCCCCCCCCCCCCCCCCCCCC